TGAGTGGGTGTGATGTGTGATGTGTGATGTGTGGGTGTGATGTGTGATGTGTGGGTGTGATGTGTGGGTGTGATGAGTGGGTGTGATGAGTGGGTGTGATGTGTGGGTGTGATGTGTGATGTGTGAGTGTGATGTGTGAGTGTGATGAGTGGGTGTGATGTGTGATGTGTGGGTGTGATGAGTGGGTGTGATGAGTGGGCGTGATGTGTGATGTGTGGGTGTGATGAGTGGGTGTGATGTGTGGGTGTGATGAGTGGGTGTGATGAGTGGGTGTGATGCGTGATGTGTGGGTGTGATGTGTGGGTGTGATGAGTGGGTGTGATGTGTGATGTGTGGGTGTGATGTGTGGGTGTGATGAGTGGGTGTGATGAGTGGGTGTGATGTGTGGGTGTGATGTGTGAGTGTGATGTGTGAGTGTGATGTGTGATGAGTGGGTGTGATGGGTGATGTGTGGGTGTGATGTGTGGGTGTGATGAGCGGGTGTGATGAGTGGGTGTGATGTGTGGGTGTGATGTGTGAGTGTGATGTGTGATGAGTGGGTGTGATGGGTGATGTGTGGGTGTGATGTGTGAGTTTGATGAGTGGGTGTGATGTGTGGGTGTGATGGGTGAGTGTGATGTGTGATGAGACGGTGTGATGAGTGGGTGTGATGTGTGGGTGTGATGAGTGGGTGTGATGTGTGGGTGTGATGTGTGGGTGTGATGTGTGATGTGTGGGTGTGATGTGTGATGAGTGGGTGTGATGTGTGGGTGTGATGTGTGATGTGTGGGTGTCATGAGTGGGTGTGATGTGTGATGTGTGGGTGTGATGAGTGGGTGTGATGTGTGGGTGTGATGAGTGAGTGTGATGTGTGGGGGTGATGAGTGGGTGTGATGTGTGGGTGTGATGAGTGATGTGTGGGTGTGATGAGTGGGTGTGATGAGTGATGTGTGGGTGTGATGTGTGATGTGTGGGTGTGATGAGTGGGTGTGATGAGTGATGTGTGGGTGTGATGAGTGGGTGTGATGTGTGATGAGTGGGTGTGATGTGTGGGTGTGATGAGTGGGTGTGATGTGTGATGTGTGATGTGTGGGTGTGATGTGTGATGTGTGGGTGTGATGAGTGGGTGTGATGAGTGGGTGTGATGTGTGGGTGTGATGTGTGAGTGTGATGTGTGAGTGTGATGAGTGGGTGTGATGTGTGATGTGTGGGTGTGATGAGTGGGTGTGATGAGTGGGTGTGATGTGTGATGTGTGGGTGTGATGAGTGGGTGTGATGTGTGATGTTTGGGTGTGATGCGTGGGTGTGATGAGTGGGTGTGATGTGTGATGAGTGGGTGTGATGTGTGGGTGTGATGAGTGGGTGTGATGAGTGGGTGTGATGAGTGGGTGTGATGTGTGATGTGTGGGTGTGATGTGTGGGTGTGATGAGTGGGTGTGATGAGTGGGTGTGATGTGTGATGTGTGGGTGTGATGTGTGGGTATGATGAGTGGGTGTGATGAGTGGGTGTGATGTGTGGGTGTGATGTGTGAGTGTGATGTGTGATGAGTGGGTGTGATGGGTGATGTGTGGGTGTGATGTGTGAGTGTGATGAGTGGGTGTGATGTGTGGGTGTGATGGGTGAGTGTGATGTGTGATGAGACGGTGTGATGAGTGGGTGTGATGTGTGGGTGTGATGAGTGGGTGTGATGTGTGGGTGTGATGTGTGGGTGTGATGTGTGATGTGTGGGTGTGATGTGTGATGAGTGGGTGTGATGTGTGGGTGTGATGTGTGATGTGTGGGTGTCATGAGTGGGTGTGATGTGTGATGTGTGGGTGTGATGAGTGGGTGTGATGTGTGGGTGTGATGAGTGAGTGTAATGTGTGGGTGTGATGTGTGGGTGTGATGAGTGGGTGTGATGTGTGATGTGTGGGTGTGAGGTGTGGGTGTGATGTGTGATGAGTGGGTGTGATGTGTGATGTGTGGGTGTGATGAGTGGGTGTGATGAGTGATGTGTGGGTGTGATGAGTAGGTGTGATGTGTGGGTGTGATGAGTGGGTGTGATGAGTGGGTGTGATGTGTGGGTGTGATGAGTGGGTGTGATGTGTGATGTGTGGGTGTGATGTGTGGGTGTGATGTGTGGGTGTGATGAGTGGGTGTGATGAGTGGGTGTGATGTGTGGGTGTGATGTGTGATGTGTGATGTGTGAGTGTGATGAGTGGGTGTGATGTGTGATGTGTGGGTGTGATGAGTGGGTGTGATGAGTGGGTGTGATGTGTGATGTGTGGGTGTGATGAGTGGGTGTGATGTGTGATGTTTGGGTGTGATGCGTGGGTGTGATGAGTGGGTGTGATGTGTGATGTGTGGGTGTGATGTGTGGGTGTGATGAGTGGGTGTGATGAGTGGGTGTGATGTGTGGGTGTGATGTGTGAGTGTGATGTGTGAGTGTGATGTGTGATGAGTGGGTGTGATGAGTGGGTGTGATGTGTGGGTGTGATGTGTGAGTGTGATGTGTGATGAGTGGGTGTGATGTGTGGGTGTGATGTGTGAGTGTGATGTGTGGGTGTGATGTGTGATGTGTGGGTGTGATGTGTGGGTGTGATGTGTGAGTGTGATGTGTGAGTGTGATGTGTGATGAGTGGGTGTGATTTGAGGGTGTGATGTGTGGGTGTGATGTGTGATGTGTGGGTGTGATGTGTGATGAGTGGGTGTGATGTGTGGGTGTGATGTGTGGGTGTGATGAGTGGGTGTGATGCGTGATGTGTGGGTGCGATAAGTGATGTGTGTGTGTGATGTGTGGGTGTGATGTGTGATGTGTGAGTGTGATGTGTGATGAGTGGGTGTGATGTGTGGGTGTGATGAGTGGGTGTGGGTGTGATGAGTGGGTGTGATGAGTGGGTGTGATGTGTGGGTGTGATGAGTGGGTGTGATGATGTGTGATGTGTGGGTGTGATGTGTGATGTGTGGGTGTGATGTGTGGGTGTGATGAGTGGGTGTGATGAGTGGGTGTGATGTGTGGGTGTGATGTGTGATGTGTGAGTGTGATGTGTGAGTGTGATGAGTGGGTGTGATGTGTGATGTGTGGGTGTGATGAGTGGGTGTGATGAGTGGGTGTGATGTGTGATGTGTGGGTGTGATGAGTGGGTGTGATGTTTGATGTTTGGGTGTAATGCGTGGGTGTGATGAGTGGGTGTGATGTGTGATGAGTGGGTGTGATGTGTGGGTGTGATGAGTGGGTGTGATGAGTGGGTGTGATGTGTGATGTGTGGGTGTGATGTGTGGGTGTGATGAGTGGGTGTGATGAGTGGGTGTGATGTGTGATGTGTGGGTGTGATGTGTGGGTGTGATGAGTGGGTGTGATGAGTGGGTGTGATGTGTGGGTGTGATGTGTGAGTGTGATGTGTGATGTGTGATGAGTGGGTGTGATGGGTGATGTGTGGGTGTGATGTGTGAGTGTGATGAGTGGGTGTGATGTGTGGGTGCGATGGGTGAGTGTGATGTGTGATGAGACGGTGTGATGAGTGGGTGTGATGTGTGGGTGTGATGAGTGGGTGTGATGTGTGGGTGTAATGTGTGGGTGTGATGTGTGATGTGTGGGTGTGATGTGTGATGAGTGGGTGTGATGTGTGGGTGTGATGTGTGATGTGTGGGTGTGATGAGTGAGTGTGATGTGTGGGTGTGATGTGTGGGTGTGATGAGTGGGTGTGATGTGTGATGTGTGGGTGTGAGGTGTGGGTGTGATGTGTGATGAGTGGGTGTGATGTGTGATGTGTGGGTGTGATGAGTGGGTGTGATGAGTGATGTGTGGGTGTGATGAGTGGGTGTGATGTGTGGGTGTGATGAGTGGGTGTGATGAGTGGGTGTGATGTGTGGGTGTGATGAGTGGGTGTGATGTGTGATGTGTGGGTGTGATGTGTGATGTGTGGGTGTGATGTGTGGGTGTGATGAGTGGGTGTGATGAGTGGGTGTGATGTGTGGGTGTGATGTGTGGTGTGTGATGTGTGAGTGTGATGAGTGGGTGTGATGTGTGATGTGTGGGTGTGATGAGTGGGTGTGATGAGTGGGTGTGATGTGTGATGTGTGGGTGTGATGAGTGGGTGTGATGTTTGGGTGTGATGCGTGGGTGTGATGAGTGGGTGTGATGTGTGATGAGTGGGTGTGATGTGTGGGTGTGATGTGTGAGTGTGATGTGTGAGTGTGATGTGTGATGAGTGGGTGTGATGAGTGGGTGTGATGTGTGGGTGTGATGTGTGAGTGTGATGTGTGATGAGTGGGTGTGATGTGTGGGTGTGATGTGTGAGTGTGATGTGTGGGTGTGATGTGTGATGTGTGGGTGTGATGTGTGGGTGTGATGTGTGAGTGTGATGTGTGAGTGTGATGTGCGATGAGTGGGTGTGATTTGAGGGTGTGATGTGTGGGTGTGATGTGTGATGTGTGGGTGTGATGTGTGATGAGTGGGTGTGATGTGTGGGTGTGATGTGTGGGTGTGATGAGTGGGTGTGATGCGTGATGTGTGGGTGTGATAAGTGATGTGTGGGTGTGATGTGTGGGTGTGATGTGTGATGTGTGAGTGTGATGTGTGATGAGTGGGTGTGATGTGTGGGTGTGATGAGTGATGTGTGGGTGTGATGTGTGATGTGTGAGTGTGATGTGTGAGTGTGATGTGTGGGTGTGATGTGTGGGTGTGATGTGTGGGTGTGATGAGTGGGTGTGATGTGTGATGTGTGGGTGTGATGTGTGGGTGTGATGTGTGATGAGTGGGTGTGATGAGTGGGTGTGATGTGTGATGAGTGGGTGTGATGTGTGGGTGTGATGTGTGATGTGTGGGTGTGATGTGATGTGTGGGTGTGATGTGTGATGAGTGGGTGTGATGTGTGGGTGTGATGTGTGATGAGTGATGTGTGATGAGTGGGTGTGATGTGGGGGTGTGATGTGTGATGTGTGATGAGTGGGTGTGAAGAGTGATATGTGGGTGTGATGTGTGGGTGTGATGTGTTTTTTGATGAGTGGGTGTGATGAGTGGGTGTGATTAACAATGGGCGTGCGCTCACTCACCCCTCTATATAATCACGGCTTTCCCACCCCCAACACCTCACAGCACCACACAGCACAACCCCCTCTGCTCTCTCCTCTCGCCTCTCCTCGATTCCCCCACCATGTTCACTCTCATCCCCGGCATCCCAGCGCACCGCACCCCAGCCAGGGCCCGCGGGCTCGCCCTGACCACAACGGCGACCCTCGCCCTGAGCCCGAGCCGGCAGTGCGAGCGAGACGCCCTCAGGGCGCTCAACGCTCGCATGCCGGGCTACCTGAGCAGGGCCCGGCACCTCGGCGGCGCGAACGAAGCCCTGGGGGCGCAGCTCAGGGCCCTGGGGGCAGGAGGAGCCGGGGTCACAGGAAGCCCGGGCACAGAGGCTGCGCTCTGGGACGCCTTTGGGAGCGTGGGGAGAGCGGCGAGCGAGGCTGCGAGCCTCCGCGTGGCTCTGGGAGATTCGTGTGCCCTGGGAAACGAGCTCGTGGCCAGGTGCGGTCATCATCACCGTCATTATCTCGTGTGTACGCTGCACTTCTTTGGCACCGTACGTGGCCAACCGTGCGAAATCGGAGGTGCGGGTCTCCTTCACCGTCACCATCATCATCGTCGTCGTCTTTACTCTCACAAGTCGTCATCATTGTGATCATCGTTATTATGATCATCGCGGCGATCATAACAGTCACAGTGAGCATTATCGTTTTGATTATCATGATCGTGAGCCTTATCTTAATGTAAATCATCATGAATAATCGTATACCAATATAATCCTCAAAATAATCAGCATCATGATCCATGTCAATCTTCATCACAATATTCATAATCATCAGTATTATGTTAATCGCATCACAAGAGTCATAATCGCTATAATTGTGTTCAGAATAATTATGTACATTATGTGTTGAACTTTTTTCGCACCGTACGTAGCCAACCGTGTTAATCGCAGGTGCGTGGAATAATGATCAATGCTGTTATCTCACTAAACTTGGTGCTCTATCCTGTCTCACCTGTTGTACCTCACCTGTCCACTCGCGCCCTCACCTCCTCTCTCACCTGTCACCTGCTCAATTATCCACTCACCTGTCCTCTCACCTGTCCACTGAGCCGCTCACCTTTCCTCTCGCCCGTCCACTCAATCACTCACCTGCCCACTCACCTTTTGACTCAGTTATACACCCACTCGTCCTCCCACCCACACACATGTCCACTCACCCACTCACCCACTCACCCACTCACCCTCTCACTCACTCACCCACTCACTCACCCTCTCACTCACCCACTCACTCACTTACCCTCTCACCCACCCACTCACCCTCTCACTCACCCTCTCACTCACCCACACACCTGTTCACCCACCCTCTCACTCACCCACTCACTCACTCACCCTCTCACTCACCCACTCACTCAGTTACCCTCTCACCCACCCACTCACCCTTTCACTCACCCTCTCACCCACCCACTCACCCTCTCACTCACCCACTCACTCACCCTCTCACTCACCCTCTCACTCACCCACTCACCCACACACCTGTTCACTCACCCACTCACCTGTTCACTCACCCTCTCACCCACAGGTGTGAATTCGCTGCGGGAGTCGGGCACCAGATGAGCAGTGACATTGGGCGCATGGTGCAGGTGAGAGTAAACAACCACACTGATAATCAACAACAAACAATACCAACAATTATTGTAGTGCATCGTTACGTACGCACGTTGAACTTCTTTCGCACCGTACCTAGCCAACCGTGATAATCGGAGGTGCGGAGGAAGGACAACAAACTGAACACAACAAGAAGCTATGAACAGAAACGAAACATTTTTCAATTCAGATTTAAAAGTGCATAGCCCCAGTGGCTCCCTAATATCTGAAGGAAGAGCATTCCCGACGGCCGCAGAAGCGCTTCTGAAAGCGCGCGACGCGGTGACCGTCAAAAAATACAAAGATCCCTCATATAGCTCGTACAAGATGTTGGGCCAAGTGTGTTCAGCGAGCAGTATCTTTGAAGGCCAACGTGATCCACGATGGGGTGGGTGGAAAAGTACTATGCGCGGCCGCCTTTGTCTCCCCAGCACTAATGTTTTGTTTACAAACCAGGTACTTATTTAAGGCTGAGTCGATCTAGGAGAGGCGCAGGACCGGTTCAGCGATGCCGTGAGCGGGAATGTAACTGTGGTGGCCTCGATTCGTAAGCGCAGTGCGTTGACCGCTGCGCCTCCGCTCCTAAGCGTCGCAACACGCAGCATGGGGTGCGGTTCTGTGCATGTACAACCCTCTTGGCAAATCCACTGCTGGATGACGACCCCGACCCACCGTGCAGGCGCGGAGGGACGTGTCGGAACGAGGACACTTTGTGATTGGTTCTAACGGTGGGGGAGGGGGGGTGTATCGAAATGGGTGCACTTTGTAGTTATTCTATGAGGTGGGGAAGGAGGGACGGTGACTCTGAATGGATATACTTTGTTATTGTTCTCTCAGGGGCGTATAATACAACTTATGATTTACATTTGTAAGGCGCATTTGATCCGTGTATGAAAAGCAGGAATTAAAAATAACCAGAGTAAAACGGCCAGAATTAGCGGGTATATGCCAATGCAGAGAGGTTCCTAAATGGGTGCACTTTGTAAGTGCTCTAGACATTTAAAATGGGTACACTTTGTAGCTGCTCTAGAGACATTTAAAATGGGTACACTTTGTAACTGCTCTAGACATTTAGAATGGGTACACTTTGTAGCTGCTCTAGAGACATTCAAAATGGGTACACTTTGTAACTGCTCTAGACATTTAAAATGGGTACACTTTGTAACTGCTCTAGACATTTAAAATGGGTACACTTTGTAACTGCTCTAGACATTTAAAATGGGTGCACTTTGTAACTGTTTTAGACATTTAAAATGGGTACACTCTGTAACTGCTCTAGAGACATTTAAAATGGGTACACTTTGTAACTGCTCTAGACATTTAAAATGGGTATACTTTGTAGCTGCTCTAGAGACATTTAAAATGGGTACACTTTGTAACTGCTCTAGACATTTAAAATGGGTACACTTTGTAGCTGCTCTAGAGACATTTAAAATGGGTACACTTTGTAACTGCTCTAGACATTTAAAATGGGTACACTTTGTAACTGCTCTAGACATTTAAAATGGGTACACTTTGTAACTGCTCTAGACATTTAAAATGGGAACACTTTGTACCTGCTCTAGACATTTAAAATGGGTACACTTTGTAACTGCTCTATAGACATTTAAAATGGGTACACTTTGTAACTGCTCTAGAGACATTTAAAATGGGTACACTTTGTAACTGTTTTAGACATTTAAAATGGGTACACTGTGTAACCGCTCTAGACATTTAAAATGGGTACACTTTGTAACTGCTCTAGACATTTAAAATGGGTACACTTTGTAACTGCTATAGACATTTAAAATGGGTACACTTTGTAACTGCGATAGACATTTAAAATGGGTACACTTTGTAACTGCTCTAGACATTTAAAACGGGTGCACTCTGTAACTGCCCCGTGCAGGAGCTGATCGAGGCTGGGTTCGTGCGGGAGGCTATGCATCAGCAGTTGGAGTCGCGTGCGGAGGAGCTCAATGAGTTGAACAGGCGGAGCCAGGAGGTAAGGATCACTGGGGAGACAAAGGCGGCCGGGTGTGGTGCTGACCACACCACCCCGCTTACCACTTACTACCACAGCCACGCACCACAAACCACCAACAATCACAAGTCACTCAACGAGTTCTCACCAACCGCTCACCCACAACCACCAAGCTTCCGCTCGACACCGGCCTTCGACCACCATAGATCGTCTACCGCTCACCACGACCACTCTCAACCGCTCACCATCACTCACTACCAACCGCTCACCATCACTCACTACCAACCGCTCACCATCACTCACTACCAACCGCTCACCATCACTCACTACCAACCGCTCACCATCACTCACTACCAACCGCTTACCATCACTCACTACCAACCACTCACCATCACTCACTACCAACCGCTCACCATCACTCACTACCAACCGCTCACCATCACTCACTACCAACCACTCACCATCACTCACTACCAACCGCTCACCAGGACCACTCTCAACCGCTCACCTTCACTCACTACCAACCGCTCACCATCACTCACTACCAACCGCTCACCATCACTCACTACCAACCGCTCACCATCACTCACTACCAACCGCTCACCTTCACTCACTACCAACCGCTCACCATCACTCACTACCAACCACTCACCATCACTCTCTACCAACCGCTCACCTTCACTCACTACCAACCGCTCACCATCACTCACTACCAACCGCTCACCATCACTCACTACCAACCGCTCACCATCACTCACTACCAACCGCTCACCATCACTCACTACCAACCGCTCACCATCACTCACTACCAACCGCTCACCATCACTCACTACCAACCGCTCACCATCACTCACTACCAACCGCTCACCATCACTCACTACCAACCGCTCACCATCACTCACTACCAACCGCTCACCATCACTCTCTACCAACCGCTCACCATCACTCACTACCAACCGCTCACCATCACTCACTACCAACCGCTCACCATCACTCACTACCAACCGCTCACCATCACTCACTACCAACCGCTCACCATCACTCTCTACCAACCGCTCACCTTCACTCACTACCAACCGCTCACCATCACTCACTACCAACCGCTCACCATCACTCACTACCAACCACTCACCATCACTCACTACCAACCGCTCACCTTCACTCACTACCAACCACTCACCATCACTCACTACCAACCGCTCACCATCACTCACTACCAACCGCTCACCATCACTCACTACCAACCGCTCACCATCACTCACTACCAACCGCTCACCATCACTCACTACCAACCGCTCACCATCACTCACTACCAACCACTCACCATCACTCACTACCAACCACTCACCATCACTCACTACCAACCACTCACCATCACTCACTACCAACCACTCACCATCACTCACTACCAACCGCTCACCATCACTCACTACCAACCGCTCACCATCACTCACTACCAACAGCTCACCATCACTCACTACCAACCGCTCACCATCACTCACTACCAACCGCTCACCATCACTCACTACCAACCGCTCACCATCACTCTCTAACAACCGCTCACCATCACTCTCTACCAACCGCTCACCATCACTCACTACCAACCGCTCACCATCACTCACTACCAACCGCTCACCATCACTCACTACCAACCACTCACCATCATTCACTATCAACCACTCACCATCACTCACTACCAACCACTCACCATCACTCACTACCAACCGCTCACCATCACTCACTACCAACCGCTCACCATCACTCACTACCAACCGCTCACCATCACTCACTACCAACCGCTCACCTTCACTAACTACCAACCGCTCACCATCACTCACTACCAACCGCTCACCATCACTCACTACCAACCACTCACCATCACTCACTACCAACTACTCACCATCACTCACTACCAACCATTCACCATCACTCACTACCAACCACTCACCATCACTCACTACCAACCACTCACCATCACTCACTACCAACCGCTCACCATCACTCACTACCAACCGCTCACCATCACTCACTACCAACAGCTCACCATCACTCACTACCAACCGCTCACCATCACTCACTACCAACCGCTCACCATCACTCACTACCAACCGCTCACCATCACTCTCTACCAACCGCTCACCATCACTCACTACCAACCGCTCACCATCACTCACTACCAACCGCTCACCATCACCCACTACCAACCGCTCACCTTCACTCACTACCAACCGCTCACCATCACTCACTACCAACCGCTCACCATCACTCTCTACCAACCGCTCACCTTCACTCACTACCAACCGCTCACCATCACTCACTACCAACCGCTCACCATCACTCACTACCAACCGTTCACCATCACTCACTACCAACCGCTCACCATCACTCACTACCAACCGCTCACCATCACTCACTACCAACCACTCACCATCACTCACTACCAACCACTCACCATCACTCACTACCAACCACTCACCATCACTCACTACCAACCGCTCACCATCACTCACTACCAACCGCTCACCATCACTCACTACCAACCGCTCACCATCACTCTCTACCAACCGCTCACCATCACTCACTACCAACCGCTCACCATCACTCACTACCAACCGCTCACCATCACCCACTACCAACCGCTCACCTTCACTCACTACCAACCGCTCACCATCACTCACTACCAACCGCTCACCATCACTCTCTACGAACCGCTCACCTTCACTCACTACCAACCGCTCACCATCACTCACTACCAACCGCTCACCATCACTCACTACCAACCGCTCACCATCACTCACTACCAACCGCTCACCATCACTCACTACCAACCGCTCACCATCACTCACTACCAACCACTCACCATCACTCACTACCAACCACTCACCATCACTCACTACCAACCACTCACCATCACTCACTACCAACCGCTCACCATCACTCACTACCAACCGCTCACCATCACTCACTACCAACAGCTCACCATCACTCACTACCAACCGCTCACCATCACTCACTACCAACCGCTCACCATCACTCACTACCAACCGCTCACCATCACTCTCTAACAACCGCTCACCATCACTCTCTACCAACCGCTCACCATCACTCACTACCAACCGCTCACCATCACTCACTACCAACCGCTCACCATCACTCACTACCAACCACTCACCATCATTCACTATCAACCACTCACCATCACTCACTACCAACCACTCACCATCACTCACTACCAACCGCTCACCATCACTCACTACCAACCGCTCACCATCACTCACTACCAACCGCTCACCATCACTCACTACCAACCGCTCACCTTCACTCACTACCAACCGCTCACCATCACTCACTACCAACCGCTCACCATCACTCACTACCAACCACTCACCATCACTCACTACCAACTACTCACCATCACTCACTACCAACCACTCACCATCACTCACTACCAACCACTCACCATCACTCACTACCAACCGCTCACCATCACTCACTACCAACCGCTCACCATCACTCACTACCAACAGCTCACCATCACTCACTACCAACCGCTCACCATCACTCACTACCAACCGCTCACCATCACTCACTACCAACCGCTCACCATCACTCACTACCAACCGCTCACCATCACTCTCTACCAACCGCTCACCATCACTCACTACCAACCACTCACCATCACTCACTACCAACCGCTCACCATCACCCACTACCAACCGCTCACCTTCACTCACTACCAACCGCTCACCATCACTCACTACCAACCGCTCACCATCACTCTCTACCAACCGCTCACATTCACTCACTACCAACCGCTCACCATCACTCACTACCAACCGCTCACCATCACTCACTACCAACCGCTCACCATCACTCACTACCAACCGCTCACCATCACTCTCTACCAACCGCTCACCTTCACTCACTACCAACCGCTCACCATCACTCACTACCAACCGCTCACCATCACTCACTACCAACCGCTCACCATCACTCACTACCAACTGCTCACCATCACTCACTACCAACCGCTCACCATCACTCACTACCAACCGCTCACCATCACTCACTACCAACCGCTCACCATCACTCACTACCAACCGCTCACCATCACTCACTACCAACCGCTCACCATCACTCACTACCAACCGCTCACCATCACTCACTACCAACCGCTCACCATCACTCACTACCAACCACTCACCATCACTCACTACCAACCACTCACCATCACTCACTACCAACCACTCACCATCACTCACTACCAACCGCTCACTATCACTCACTACCAACCGCTCACCATCACTCACTACCAACAGCTCACCATCACTCACTACCAACCGCTCACCATCACTCACTACCAACCGCTCACCATCACTCACTACCAACCGCTCACCATCACTCTCTACCAACCGCTCACCATCACTCTCTACCAACCGCTCACCATCACTCACTACCAACCGCTCACCATCACTCACTACCAACCGCTCACCATCACTCACTACCAACCACTCACCATCACTCACTACCAACCACTCACCATCACTCACTACCAACCACTCACCATCACTCACTACCAACCGCTCACCATCACTCACTACCAACCGCTCACCATCACTCACTACCAACCGCTCACCATCACTCACTACCAACCGCTCACCTTCACTCACTACCAACTGCTCACCATCACTCACTACCAACCGCTCACCATCACTCACTACCAACCGCTCACCATCACTCACTACCAACCACTCACCATCACTCACTACCAACCACTCACCATCACTCACTACCAACCACTCACCATCACTCACTACCAACCACTCACCATCACTCACTACCAACCGCTCACCATCACTCACTACCAACTGCTCACCATCACTCACTACCAACCGCTCACCATCACTCACTACCAACCGGCATCCACTCACCACAGGCCTTCACTCACCACTCACCACAGACACCGGTCTTCACTCACCACTCACCACAGGCACCGGTCTTCACTCACCACTCACCACAAACACCACAATCTGAATTTGTATTTATACTGGAAGAATCCGATGAGCTGTAAAGCTCTTTTTCACCAACCCCCCCTCTTGCTCCCGCCACCACTCACCACCCCCCCTCCCCCCTCTCAGCTGGAGCGATCCCTGAAGCTGGACGAGCGGGGGGGTCCCGGGGTCGCTCCGCCCTGCGGGCTGCAGGTCGTGCAGGGCCCCGGGGGGGGGGCCTCTCTGCCCGAGGCTCTGGCCACCCTCAGGGCCCAGTACACGGGGGTCACGGCTCGGTTCCAGGACGAGATGCGAGACGCGTTCTCATCGCAGGTGACAGCAGCTGGAGCAACTATAGTAACCAACTACAGCAACATCAGCTGTAGCAACCAACTACAGCAACCTCAGCTGTAGCAACAGCAGCAGCTGCAGCAACTACATCAACAGCAGCTGCAGCAGCAGTAGCTGCAGCAACAGCAACTGCAGCAACAGCAACTGTAGCAACAGCTATCGCTGTAGTAACTACAACATCATCAGCTGTAGCAACAGCTGTAGTAACAACAGCAGTTGTACCACCTATAGTAACAGCAGCTGTAGCAAAAGCAGCTCTAGCAGCTGTAGCAACTACAGCTGTAGCAACAGCAGCAGCTGTAGTAACCACATCAACAGCAGCAGCTGTAGTAGCAATAACATCAGCTGTAGCAGCAACCACATCAACAGCAGCAGCTGTAGCAGCAGCTGTAGCAGCTGTAGCAGCAACAGCAGCAGCTGTCAAATAATCAAAGTGATTTGTTGCTCAAATGAACACTGAGGCATTTGGTGCTCACTTCCAGTTTACAGCGGTGCAGAGCCAATCGTGGCAAATCCACATTCCTATGGCAAAGTATATCCAGAGGACATCCGCTGGTGACTTCCTTGCGAATCTCAACGCCAGTCCTGACCATAGCCCCAACCCTTTCCCCATCCTTAATCATAGTTATAACCCGAAGCCCTTTCCCTAGTCCTACCCTCACAGCCCTAGTCCTAACCCTAGTCCTAGCCCTAGTCCTAGCCCTAGTCCTAACCCTAGTCCTAGCCCTAGTCCTAACCCTAGTCCTAGTCCTAACCCTAGTCCTAGCCCTAGTCCTAACCCTAGTCCTAGCCCTAGTCCTAACCCTAGTCCTAACCCTAGTCCTAACCCTAGTCCTAACCCTAGTCCTAGCCCTAGCCCTAGTCCTAGCCCTAGTCCTAGCCCTAGCCCTAGTCCTAGCCCTAGTCCTAACCCTCACAGCCCTAGTCCTAGCCCTAGTCCTAGCCCTAGTCCTAGTCCTAGCCCTAGTCCTAACCCTAGTCCTAACCCTAGTCCTAACCCTAGTCCTAGTCCTAGCCCTAGTCCTAGCCCTAGTCCTAGCCCTAGTCCTAGCCCTAGTCCTAACCCTAGTCCTAGCCCTAGTCCTAACCCTAGTCCTAGCCCTAGTCCTAGCCCTAGTCCTAGCCCTAGTCCTAGCCCTAGTCCTAACCCTAGTCCTAGCCCTAGTCCTAGCCCTAGTCCTAACCCTAGTCCTAACCCTAGTCCTAACCCTAGTCCTAGCCCTAGTCCTAACCCTAGTCCTAGCCCTAGTCCTAACCCTAGTCCTAACCCTAGCCCTAGCCCTAGTCCTAGCCCTAGTCCTAACCCTAGTTCTAGTCCTAACCCTAGTCCTAGCCCTAGTCCTAACCCTAGTCCTAGCCCTAGTCCTAGCCCTAGTCCTAACCCTAGTCCTAACCCTAGTCCTAGCCCTAGTCCTAGCCCTAGTCCTAACCCTAGTCCTAGCCCTAGTCCTAACCCTAGTCCTAGCCCTAGTCCTAGCCCTAGTCCTAACCCTAGTCCTAACCCTAGTCCTAACCCTAGTCCTAACCCTAGTCCTAGCCCTAATCCTAGCCCTAGTCCTAACCCTAGTCCTAGCCCTAGTCCTAACCCTAGTCCTAGTCCTAACCCTAGTCCTAGCCCTAGTCCTAACCCTAGTCCTAGCCCTAGTCCTAACCCTAGTCCTAACCCTAGTCCTAACCCTAGTCCTAACCCTAGTCCTAGCCCTAGCCCTAGTCCTAGCCCTAGTCCTAGCCCTAGCCCTAGTCCTAGCCCTAGTCCTAACCCTCACAGCCCTAGTCCTAGCCCTAGTCCTAGCCCTAGTCCTAGTCCTAGCCCTAGTCCTAACCCTAGTCCTAACCCTAGTCCTAACCCTAGTCCTAGTCCTAGCCCCTAGTCCTAGCCCTAGTCCTAGCCCTAGTCCTAGCCCTAGTCCTAACCCTAGTCCTAGCCCTAGTCCTAACCCTAGTCCTAGCCCTAGTCCTAGCCCTAGTCCTAGCCCTAGTCCTAGCCCTAGTCCTAACCCTAGTCCTAGCCCTAGTCCTAGCCCTAGTCCTAACCCTAGTCCTAACCCTAGTCCTAACCCTAGTCCTAGCCCTAGTCCTAACCCTAGTCCTAGCCCTAGTCCTAACCCTAGTCCTAGCCCTAGTCCTAGCCCTAGTCCTAGCCCTAGTCCTAGCCCTAGTCCTAGCCCTAGTCCTAACCCTTACAGCCCTAGTCCTAGCCCTAGTCCTAGCCCTAGTCCTAACCCTAGTCCTAACCCTAGTCCTAACCCTAGTCCTAGCCCTAGTCCTAACCCTAGTCCTAGCCCTAGTCCTAGCCCTAGTCCTAGTCCTAGCCTAGTCCTAGCCCTAGTCCTAACCCTAGTCCTAACCCTAGTCCTAGCCCTAGTCCTAGCCCTAGTCCTACCCTAGTCCTAACCCTAGTCCTAGCCCTAGTCCTAGCCCTAGTCCTAGCCCTAGTCCTAACCCTAGTCCTAGCCCTAGTCCTAACCCTAGTCCTAACCCTAGTCCTAGCCCTAGTCCTAGCCCTAGTCCTAACCCTAGTCCTAAGCCCTAGTCCTAACCCTAGTCCTAGCCTAGTCCTAACCCTAGTCCTAGCCCTAGTCCTAGCCCTAGTCCTAGCCCTAGTCCTAGTCCTAGCCCTAGTCCTAGCCCTAGTCCTAACCCTAGTCCTAGCCCTAGTCCTAACCCTAGTCCTAGCCCTAGTCCTAACCCTAGTCCTAGCCCTAGTCCTAGCCCTAGTCCTAACCCTAGTCCTAACCCTAGTCCTAGCCCTAGTCCTAACCCTCACAGCCCTAGTCCTAGCCCTAGTCCTAGCCCTAGTCCTAGTCCTAGCCCTAGTCCTAACCCTAGTCCTAACCCTAGTCCTAACCCTAGTCCTAGCCCTAGTCCTAGCCCTAGTCCTAGCCCTAATCCTAGCCCTAGTCCTAACCCTAGTCCTAGCCCTAGTCCTAGCCCTAGTCCTAGCCCTAGTCCTAACCCTAGTCCTAGTCCTAGCCCTAGTCCTAGCCCTAGTCCTAGCCCTAATCCTAACCCTAGTCCTAGCCCTAGTCCTAGCCCTAGTCCTAGCCCTAGTCCTAGCCCTAGTCCTAACCCTAGTCCTAACCCTAGTCCTAACCCTAGTCCTAGCCCTAGTCCTAACCCTAGTCCTAACCCTAGTCCTAACCCTAGTCCTAGCCCTAGTCCTAGCCCTAGTCCTAACCCTAGTCCTAGCCCTAGTCCTAGCCCTAGTCCTAGCCCTAGTCCTAGCCCTAGTCCTAACCCTAGTCCTAACCCTAGTCCTAACCCTAGTCCTAACCCTAGTCCTCGCCCTAGTCCTAGCCCTAGTCCTAGCCCTAGTCCTAGCCCTAGCCCTAGTCCTAGCCCTAGTCCTAGCCCTAGTCCTAACCCTCACAGCCCTAGTCCTAGCCCTAGTCCTAGCCCTAGTCCTAGCCCTAGTCCTAGCCCTAGTCCTAACCCTAGTCCTAACCCTAGTCCTAACCCTAGTCCTAGCCCTAGTCCTAACCCTAGTCCTAGCCCTAGTCCTAGCCCTAGTCCTAGCCCTAGTCCTAGCCCTAGTCCTAGCCCTAGTCCTAGCCCTAGTCCTAACCCTCACAGCCCTAGTCCTAGCCCTAGTCCTAGCCCTAGTCCTAGCCCTAGTCCTAACCCTAGTCCTAACCCTAGTCCTAACCCTAGTCCTAGCCCTAGTCCTAACCCTAGTCCTAGCCCTAGTCCTAGCCCTAGTCCTAGCCCTAGTCCTAACCCTAGTCCTAGCCCTAGTCCTAGCCCTAGTCCTAGCCCTAGTCCTAGCCCTAGTCCTAGCCCTAGTCCTAGTCCTAGCCCTAGTCCTAACCCTAGTCCTAACCCTAGTCCTAGCCCTAGTCCTAGCCCTAGTCCTAACCCTAGCCCTAGCCCTAGTCCTAGCCCTAGTCCTAACCCTAGTCCTAACCCTAGTCCTAACCCTAGTCCTAGCCTTAGTCCTAGCCCTAGTCCTAGCCCTAGTCCTAACCCTAGCCCTAGCCCTAGTCCTAGCCCTAGTCCTAACCCTAGTTCTAGTCCTAACCCTAGTCCTAGCCCTAGTCCTAACCCTAGTCCTAGCCCTAGTCCTAGCCCTAGTCCTAACCCTAGTCCTAACCCTAGTCCTAGCCCTAGTCCTAGCCCTAGTCCTAACCCTAGTCCTAGCCCTAGTCCTAACCCTAGTCCTAGCCCTAGTCCTAGCCCTAGTCCTAACCCTAGTCCTAACCCTAGTCCTAACCCTAGTCCTAACCCTAGTCCTAGCCCTAATCCTAGCCCTAGTCCTAGCCCTAGTCCTAGCCCTAGTCCTAGCCCTAGTCCTAGCCCTAGTCCTAGCCCTAGTCCTAACCCTAGTCCTAGCCCTAGTCCTAGCCCTAGTCCTAACCCGAATCCCAACCCTAACCATAGCCTCAATCCTCGCCGTAACGATGTAACCCATCTCTTCAATGGCAGAGCCAGGATTTTCAGGTAGGGAGGGCAACCCCTCCAGCAATGAGAAATGATAGAGTTGTTAGTGAGTAAGGAGTTGTTAGTAAGTAAGTAGTTGTTAGTAAGTAAGGAGTTGTTAGCAAGTAAGGAGTTGCTAGTAAGCAAGGAGTTGTTAGTAAGTAAGGAGTTGTTAGTAAGTAAGGAGTTGTTAGTGAGTAAGGAGTTGTTAGTAAGTAAGGAGTTGTTAGTAAGTAAGGAGTTGTTAGTAAGTAAGGAGTTGTTAGTAAGTAAGGAGTTGTCCGTGAGTAAGGAGTTGTTAGTAAGTAAGGAGTTGTTAGCAAGTAAGGAGTTGTTAGCGAGTAAGGAGTTGTAAGTCAGGAGTTGTTAGTACGTAAGGAGTTGTTAGTAAGCAAGGAGTTGTTAGTAAGTAAGGAGTTGTTAGTAAGTAAGGAGTTGTTAGTAAGTAAGGAGTTGCTAGTAAGTAAGGAGTTGTTAGCAAGTAAGGAGTTGTTAGTAAGTAAGGAGTTGTTAGTAAGCAAGGAGCTGATAGTAAGCAAAGAGTTGTTAGTAAGTAAGGAGTTGTTAGTAAGCAAGGAGTTGTTAGTAAGTAAGAAGTTGTTAGTAAGTAAGGAGTTGCTAGTAAGCAAGGAGTTGTTAGTAAGCGAGGAGTTGTTAGCGAGCAAGGAGTTGTTAGTAAGTAAGGAGTTGTTAGTAAGTAAGGAGTCGCTAGTTAGTAAGGAGTTGTTAATAAGTAAGGTGTTGTTAATAAGTAAGGAGTTGTTAGTAAGTAAGGAGTTGTTAATAAGTAAGGAGTTGTTAGTACGTAAGGAGTTGTTAGTAAGTAAGGAGTTGCTAGTAAGCAAGGAGTTGTTAATAAGTAAGTACTTGTTAGTAAGTAAGGAGTTGTTAGTAAGTAAGGAGTTGTTAGTAAGTAAGGAGTTGTTAGTAAGGACTTGTCCCTTGCTTTTTATTCGACACGTGTGTGGCGATGGCGAGGGTCGAATTGGAACCGCGTTGTTAGTGATCGGCCTCGCGCTCGCTGAAGGTGTCGATGCCTTCAGGGAAGTCGTGGACTCTGTAGACGCAACTGCGCACAATTCTGTGAGTCACTTATAACCGCTTTGCCGTTACTTATTGCCAATTATGGACTCGGACTATTGTCCTATCATCTCATAGAGTCCCTGGCACGTAATGATATGCTACACAGTGGTAGTGCGGTTCGCAAAATTCCGATTTATTACTAATAAACCCCAAACATCAGTGGGGGGGGGGGGGGGGGGGGGGGGCACGTGCCATCCCACCCCCCCCCACTGGCTCCGCCAGTGCATCTCTTATCCCCCAATCCCGGCGCTGTCCCTCGACTCACATGCCGAGAGTAACCTCAACCCCAAAGCAGCCTCCACCATCTCCCACGCGCCTCATTGAATGAATGCATGAACGAACGACAACACGATTGAACGAACGACAACACGAGTGAACGAACGACAACACGAGTGAACGAACGGAAACACGAGTGAACGCGCGAACGACTAAACGAGCGAACGACTGAAGCCGGCGAATGAATAAAACGGGCGGAATTGGCCCCTAAAAAACACTGCCGCGCCCCCCACCCGTGCCCGCCCCCCTCCTCCCAATGTTCTCAGTTCGGCTCCCCCACGGGGCTAGAGAACGTAGCCGCAGGGCAGGTGGCGGGGACGTCCGGACGGGAGACGGAGTCGAAGCTGATGGAGGGGTCCGTGGTGCAGCTGAGCGCTCAGCTGCAGAGCGAGAGGAGCCGGGTGAGCGTCCCCCCGAGTCCGATGTGCCGCGACCTTCATCCAGGTTCACGCGGAACACGAGGCCGGCTGCGGTGGGGTGACGCCCCCCGTGACGGCCTGCAACACCACGCAGTCCCAGCCCAGAGACACCACGTGGTGTGACGCAGCAATGCGGAACGCGTCCTCGGCGAGCCACGTGCTTCATCCCAGACGTTGGCGATGGGCGGCATCCCCCCTTCGGTTCCAGCTCTGCGTCCGTGATGGTCACTCAAAATCCTCTGCACAGGAATTCTCCTGCCAGTGGCATCCGATTGTTCACATTGCTACCCGTGGTGCAACGTAATTCACCGTCTTCGCTGACTTCTTGCGGTACTTATCATGTCCCCAGCAGTCAAAGATCCCCCGTATAGCCTTCAACAGACTGTAGGGGCAAGTGCTGTTAGCGAGCCCCCATGAAGGGCCGGTACAGCACACGAGGGAGTGCGTGGCCAGCACCGCGCCCGGCCGCCTTTGTCTCCCCAATGGCGATGTTTACACACCGCACCAGGTACTCATTTGAGGCTGAATCGACCTAGGGGAGGCCCAGGACCGGTTCGCATAACCGTCACTGGTGTTAGCTGTGAGCGGGAATTGAACTCGGCTTGCCGGGTTCGTAGCACAGTGCGCTAACCGCTACACCACCGCTCCTCCCAGTGGCATCCAATTGTTCTCATTGCTATTCTTGGTGCAACTGAATTGACTGTCATCCCCGACGTCCCCAAGTCGTCAAACCCACATTCACACGCGGCCTCGTGCGTTCTCACTGCCTGTCCAAGACATCTACCGCTCTGCCTGCCCATTAATTATTCCCAAACACAATTTTCGGACACCCTCACCGATTGGTCTGAATTAGGCATCGCCTTTTTGGCTACTCCACCAGCACTCCCATGAAGATTTCCCGGCTCGGGATTGTGCTCTGAGATGTGGAGACTTCACGGACAAAATGCCTCTGCGTGTGATAACTTTCGTTGCAGATGTGCGCCTTCTAATTTGGCTTTCGTGCCATTTCTCTTGTTTTGTTTAATCTTTTTTTCCCCCGAAGGTTTTCATTCGGCTTGGTAGTCGCCATAAATCGGAGTGGTCCCTCGCGCATGAATTAATAATGCACGGCGTCGTGGGATGCAACTAGCACGCACGGACGATGTGAAATAACATTAAATCATCGCATTTCGCGAAAACGGGAAAACGTGGCGCTCGCGAGGGGCCGCGGACGTAGGATTGGGCCCCCCCGGGTTGGGCCCCCCCCCCCCAGTGAATCCCTGCCCTCGTTGGTCCCCCCCCCCCACCCCCACGGACGCTCTCCTCTCAGCACCAGCAGCTATCCAGGGCCCTGGAGGAGACGGAGGGGAGGACGCGGGCAGCCCTGGAGGCCCTGGGGGCCCGCGCCGGCACCCTGCGGGAGGAGATGGAGGGGGCGAGGTCGGGGCTGGCGCGGCAGGCGGCGGCTCGCGCCCACGTGGCGGAGGCGCGGGGGGCCCTGCGGGAAGAGATCGCGGCCTACAGGCGGCTCGTGCACGAGGCCGGGGACGGCGGCCACTCACGGTGAGGGCCGTCACGGTGACGGCGGCGGCGGTGGTCGGGAGCGGCGGTAGTGCGGCAGCGGTTACCGCGTCGCACTACGAACCCGGCGACCCGAGTTCGATTCCCGCTCGCGGTGGCCAACACCAGGAACGATTATCTGAACCGGACATGGGCCTCCCCAAGGTCGACTCAGCTTCAAATGAGCACCTGGTGTTTAAACAATTCAACTGGGGAGACAAAGGCGGCCGGGCATGGTGTTGTCCACACACTCCATCACGTGTCGTGCCGGCCTTCACAGTTGCTCGCTAACGGCACTTTCCCCAAGAGTCTGTTAGGACTACATGGGGGATCTTTGTCTTTGTTGATGGTGATGCTAAAATGGCAGATAAACGAATGACGATTGTGATTCCATGATGATGTTGTTCATGATGGTGGTGGTGGTAACAATTAAGAAGGTGGTGATGGTGATGAAGGTGATGATGATTATTTTCATCGTGGTGATGACGATTATGGTGATGATGACGATGATCACAGATGTGGGAGTGATATTAATGATCTTGATTTGAAGCTTTCGTGACTGCAGATAGGTAGAGAAATAAAATAAAACATAAAATAATATATCACGACGTTTCGATCGCAACACAAGCTGACTATCATGCCGATTATGGGCGACAAGCTTGACATTGTTGACGAAGTTGCCGTTGATGATGATGCTGCTTCCGATTGATGATGATGTTTCGTCTGTGTCACCAACCCAGAGGGATCGCCGTCTCTGCAAAGTGCGGCGGTGCCCTCCCCATTGCTCGCCCCCTTCCCCAACGAAGTGTACGGGTCCCAGGAACTCTGGGGGTCCCCGTGGGAGCCAAGGGTGGCCCCCCTCTGCGAGCCGTTACCGGTGAGTGCCAGACAGTCAAGTCGCGTCAAGTCGCTCGTTCTCTGTGAACCCGCGGTGTCTACTGCTTCATTATTTATATCTGGGGGGCCACGGTTGGCAAGATGTTAACTCCCTCGCCTGGGATGCGGGAGGTCGTGGGTTCGATTGCGGCCAAGACGCCTGCTGCTGCTGCTGTATATTTGGAGTTTTCGTGTCTCTCTCTGTCCCCGTGGTCGCGTGGATTGTCTCTGGGTCTTCTGGTTTTTCCCTCCACGTTGAGAAACAACGTCACGCGTTTAGAGTATCCGTCTGCCATAGACGTTCCACGCGGTAAGCCACTTCGTTGAGCAATCATTTGTGGCCAGGTCGCTTCCGCAAAAGATCTACGTAGCTCGGTGAGCTTTACCTGGTAAAAATACAAAAAACACACAAAGTTTAATTTAGAGGGGGTGCGATATCGATTATGGAGGCAGCAGTGAGGGTTGGTGGATAACCGCACAGACGATGTCGTGAAGCATCCTTCCCCGTGGGTGAGCGTCGAGGAGGAGGAGGAGGCGTACCCTAGCCCCGCAAGGAGATGGCGGCGCAGCAACGTGTGCGGACTAATCTCCATCAGCCTTAAACGAGAACCTGGTGATGTGCGAGGCAGGGGCGGCGTGCTTCTGGCCACGCCACGCCCTCGTGCGCCGTCCCGGCCTTCCTAGCTGCTGTTCGCTAACAGTGCTTGCCCCAAAAGCCGCAAAATGCTATAGGGGGGGGGGGGGATATTTGTGCGTGAGTGTGTGGGTGTGTAAATGGCATGACGTTAGTTTAACACGTAGACTTTTGCGACCAATAATATCCAGAATAGAGGTTTTTTTGTGTCGTTAAACCTGCCACCACCCGACACGGCCAATTAGTGAGGTTTGACACGTAAACAAAACGTGCCAATTAGTCACTGCTTCAGCACACCCGTGTGTTGGAGAGTATCCCTACGACATTTACAATTCGAGTCCGACGTTTCGCTGGTAATTACCAGCTTCATCAGGCGATGGTCAGAATTGTGAAGAAGTCCTCCTGTTTCGGTCTTAAATAGAGGGGAGCAATGGTGACGTCATCACCGTGGGCCTATCAGGTGCGCAGACCAGAGGGGGGTTAATGTCGTCGTAACAGTTACAATGGACTCTTGTTTATCTGAAAAGACGCCGTACCTATTATTGGTTGTCATGACGCGTTTGCTGTGTGTCACCTGACATCATCTTGGACATCCTTGTTCCACCTCGTCGATTATCCAGGTGAAATAACCCCTCCCTCCCTCCCTCCTCCAGCAAACGCCCAGAACGGGGCCCACGGAGGAGACGTCACGAGGGCCCGTGAGGAGGGGGAGGAGGGGGCGGGTGCCACGGTGAGGGCCCCGCTTCTGGCGGGGCCAGCGAAGGGGGCCCTGGGGGGCGGGAAGGTGCTGAGTGTGGGACCTCAGGAGGTCAGAGGGGAGGTCTTTCAAGAGGATGATGTCATTTGGGAGAAAGGTCAAAAGGTCAATAGTGAGGAAGGACAGTTTAATGGTGAGGAGCTCCAGAAGGTCAGTAGTGAGGACCTTCAGAAGGCCGATGGTGAGGAGCTTCAGAAGGCCGATGGTGAGGTGCTTCAGAAGGCCGATGGTGAGGTGCTTCAGAAGGCCGATGGTGAGGTGCTTCAGAAAGCCGATGATGAGGTGCTTCAGAAGGCCGATGGTGAGGACCTTCAGAAGGCCGATGGTGAGGACCTTCAGAAGGCCGATGGTGAGGTGTTTCAGAAAGCCAATGATGAGGAGCTTCAGAAGGCCGATGATGAGGTGCTTCAGAAGGCCGATGATGAGGAGCTTCAGAAGGCCGATGGTGAGGACCTTCAGAAGGCCGATGATGAGGTGCTTCAGAAGGCCGATGATGAGGAGCTTCAGAAGGCCGATGGTGAGGTGCTTCAGAAGGCCGATGATGAGGAGCTTCAGAAGGCCGATGGTGAGATGTTTCAGAAGGCCAATGATGAGGAGCTTCAGAAGGCCGATGATGAGGTGCTTCAGAAGGCCGATGATGAGGAGCTTCAGAAGGCCAATGGTGAGGAGCTTCAGAAGGCCGATGGTGAGGACCTTCAGAAGGCCGATGATGAGGAGCTTCAGAAGGCCGATGATGAGGAGCTTCAGAAGGCCGATGGTGAAGACCTTCAGAAGGTCGATGATGAGGTGCTTCAGAAGGCTGATGATGAGGACCTTCAGAAGGCCGATGATGAGGACCTTCAGAAGGCCGATGATGAGGAGCTTCAGAAGGCCGATGATGAGGAGCTTCAGGTGAATAGTGAGGCACTTCAGAAGGTCGCCAGTGAAGGCCCACAAGGTCAGGTCAACAGCGAGGCCCCACGAGAACATCAGGTCAACGGCAATGGCCCTACGGGAGTGTTTGGCGAGGACCCTCAGGGTGGCAGTGAGGTGAGCGGTGAGCAATCTCTGGAGGTGCGTGGTGAGGTTGATGATGGTCACTCGCAGGCCGGCGAGGCTACCGGTGATGGCCCACGGGATGGCGCTGAGATCCTCGGTGAGGAGTCCCGGGTTGTCGGCGAGGGACCACTCGCCGGTAACGGCCCTGCCGGTGACGCCAGGGCCAGGGCAGGCCCGGAACCGCCCCTTGCCGAGGGCCCGGCCCTGCCAGGGCCCCTTCAGGAGGAGGAGCAGGGGGAGGCCCGGGATGACCAGTGAGCCTGAGGGCGAGGGGACCCCCGTTCGGGACCCTCAGCAGGGTGAGGGGGCCCCATAGGCAGAGGGACGTCATGGGAACCGCCGCTGGAGGAAAGGGATTAGGAGGATAAGGAGGAGGATAAGGAGGATGAGGAAGAATCAGAGACTCGTATCGACTGATCTGCAGTGGTGGTGCTGGAGCGGTGTTCTTCACTAAATTTCAGAGAGGGGGGGGGGGGTGGGGTCACTTTTGCCGATAAGACATCATCAGTGTGAGTAGGGCCGCCACACATTTGAAACCATTGGTGAGTTTGATAACAGCACGATGATGATGGGGGGGGGGGGGGGGGGGGGGGTGTCACGTGTTGTATGTTGTCGGGGTGCCGCACGCCAGGGGCCGCACTAAAGGTCACCAGGGGGCCGCCAATGACCTGCGGGGCCTTGCGATGAAGAGCGCCGAACTAGCCCATTCGGGGCTGTCCCCCGAACCTCCCTCTTCAATGTATACAATCCGAGTGAGATGACGGAAGAGACATAGACGACAGAGACACGGATGGAGCTGCTGAGAGAACAGGAACGTGGGCAAACATATTTTGAGACGTCTTGACGTGAAAGAAGAGAGATGCAAACAAGATGGAGATGAACGGGGTTCTTCAATGTTAAATAGATTATGCTTACGTCAATCAGATTATTCTTGGCTCTTTCGGTAAAGTCAAGTAGAAGGGAAACAATAAAATAATGAAAATATAAAACAATAAAATTCTCACGACGTTTCGACTGCAACACAAGCAATCGACTGCAACACAAGCAATCATCATCACACCTGATGATGAGTGCTTGTGTTGCAGTCGAAACGTCGTGAGAATTTTATTGTTTTATATTTGCATTATTTTATTGTTTCCCTTCTACGTGACTTTACCGAAAGAACCAAGAATATGAATCCCTGCAGTCACGAAAGCTTTAAATCAAAGTCAATCAGCTTGTTACATTTATGTCAATTGACTCGTTATGTTCGCTTGTACTTGTGCCTAGCGCCGCCATTGCGTGCATGTTTCTGAACGTTAAGAGTCAAAAGGTGAAAGCAACCTTGGCTGATCTTGTCAAGGAGTAATAAATCATCACGCGAACTCCTCGCAAGTAGCAGCGGCGACTTTTGGCTGTCGGCCATCGAACAAAGACGGTCACCGCATCGCGCGCTTTCGGATGCGCTTCTGCGGCCGTCTGGAACGCTCTGCCTTGCAAGATTAGGAAGCCGCTGGAACTATGCACTTTTAAATAATCTAGATTGACAAACGAATTTCTTCAGAACTGTTTTTTTGTGTTTAGTTTGTCGTCCTTACACCGCACCTCCGGTTAGCACGGTTGGCTACGTATGGTGCGAAATAAGTTCAACATACCCACACATACACCGCACCTCTGATTAGCACGGTTGGCTACGTATGGTGTGAAAGAAGTTCAACATACACACACACACGTGTGCTGCTCCAGGCCTGCCTTTCCGCCTGCGTTCCCAAGTTTTTCTAACCAGGTGAGAGGCCGAGGAGCCAGGATGAAGTTTCAGTCGCGAGAGTGACCCCTGGGTACACGAGCAGCTGCTGGTGACATTGATCGGCGACAGCACCCCAACTAAATATCGATTAGGGTGCACATTGTTTTCCGGCCAAGGGTCAGAAGGCAAAGGCGCAGCCCTGCAATTGCTTGCTCAGGCCACTGCGGGCGGAAGGGGCCTCCACTGGAGGGAGCTCTGGAGAGGCCGCTCCAGGGGGTGTATTTGGCTTTCGTTTTTTTGACGATTCGGAAGTGGTGGGAGTGTGGTGGTCACTCTGTAAACACACACACGCTACACAGTACCTACCAGAGCGGGGTCATTGATAACCCTGACCAAGACCCCGCCTGAGGGGTGGAGGCTGTGGAGTGTGTGTGTGTGTTGTGAGTGTGTGTGTTGTGAGTGTGTGTGTTGTGAGTGTGTGTGTTTGTGATTCCCCAGAACCCTGCCCTTAGGCAGAAAGCGGGATAAACAAACACAGATCGGTTGGACTACCTGTGGCCAGAACCCCTCCTGAGGGGAGGGGGCTGTGGGGGATCTGTGATCCCTCAGAACCCCGCCCCTCGGTGGGGAATCGTATAAAAGCGGGCTCCTGAGAGCAGAGCTCAGTTCGCCTCAAGCCGAAGTCGAGGAGCCACCTGGAGACGAGACCCTGGACCCCAAGCCCCGACGTCCTTCTAAGGGCCGGGGCTCAGTGCGGTGCCAGAGGTCGAGAGGCTAGGACCCTGAGGTTCCCTCAGCCCGACGTCCTTCTGAGGGCCCGGTCTGGACGAGCCAGTGGTCAGAGACCCACCGGTGCCAGCGGTGGGTCAGCCTCCTTAGCTCCAGCCAGCTGGAGGGCTATAGGAGTAGGTCAGTGGCTAGGATAGATAGCCCAGAGGCTGTACCTCCACAGGTTGTGGGTGGAAGGGGCCATTACCCCTTCATGTTAAGTCCTAGTGAGTGTTGTTAAAGACGTAAATAAAACGTGTTGCTTCCTACTATGACTCCGTCTCCATACACGACTCTACAGGAGTACCCACTCTTTACCCCAACAGACGCAACCTGCCGATTGACGATGCACGTTGAACTTCTTTCGTGCCGTACGTAGCCAACCGTGCTCATCGCGAGGCGCGACTGTGCGGCGTTATCCATTTGAAACCGCTTGGTGGACAGAGGATTTCATAAACTTGCCCCGTGGTTTCAACTGCCGTGCCGGGAGATCGAATTGGAACCGGTGTCTGCCGCCAAGTCGTTTTAGACATTGTTCTGTGATGATGCACTCATCAAAACAATTTTATTCCCGGCCTGAAAGCGAAAATTAAATCTAGAATTGGATTTTGCGCCGTGTGCATTTATGAAGAATCTCACAAATGTAACGGTGTTGGCTTTCTCGACCAATGATTAATGATCTTTGATTCAGATCAAGGAACTACAATGCGATGTACATTCTCCTCCTCCCGATACAGCCAATTCAATACAATAATCACGTTTGTTTAAGGGAAGTGACACCCATAGAGAGCCCTCCCGAGCCTGCTGCGGCACCTCTCCCCTCCCATGCCCGAGATCAGAATCAGAATCTTTATCCTGGAGAAATCTGATGAGCTGTGAAGCTCTTTTTTCACAGATGTCCAGTAAGGGGTGGGTCATAAGTTACAACGAACAAAACCAAAGACACGATGGGAGTGCAAAGTACAGGTAAAGTAAGCAATTTACGAAAAATAAGTTGTATATCCTAAGGGGCCGTCCATAAATGACGTCACGCACCTAGTGGGGGGGGGGGGGGTGTCAGACATTTGTGACGATGTGTGACAAGGGAGGGGAGGGGGTTGATAAATGTGACGTCACATCAAAATGCGTAACTTTAAATAAATATAGACAACACGTTCTACTTAATTAAATAGACTTTTTAATAAATGTTTTCTCCTACAACATCAGTGCAGCGCCACATTAAATACTCACTACAATGACAATAGTTTAAAGCGATTTGAAGCATGTTTTATATATATATTTGGGGGGGGGGGGCAGAACTTTGTGACGTCATATTTGAGGGGGGGTCTGACTTTTTGTGACGTCGTGTGACGAAGGGGGGGGGGGATTCAAAAATCGTCCAAAATAGCGTGACGTCATTTATGGACGGCTCCTAAGAGCACGTCAACCCATACGGGTTACTGGTATTCAAGTGCAGGGAAATTACGTTTTCAGGTCCATAAGGCGTACAGACGTTTCAATACGGGCAAAACAAATATGTTTGTGTTTGACTTTGTAGGATGAACGTTGAGATTGTTAAGGGACACGGGGTGACCAAGAAGGTCTGAACTGGTCTGTAATAAGTTAGGCACTGATAAGGGGTTGACAGGAATGGGAGCAGATTAAACTGGCACGCGCAGGTCGCCTCTGCGTTGCTCACTAACCCTGACAGTCCTTTGTCAGCCACCCACCCACCCCAAACCTCTCCGTGTTTTTTAACAAAGAGGCCGTCCATAAATGACGTCATGCACCTGGGGGGGGGGGGTCAGACATTTGTGACGATGTGTGATGAGGGGGGGTTCATAGTCATAGTTTTCATAGTTTCATTTATTTGGTATAGCCCTGTGAGTCATTCGGCTCTTGAATCGGGTGCAACCGCAACAAACAAAACATGAACAAGAAAAACATCTTAAAGTGATTATGTGATTGTGCAAACAGAAAATCCAGGAAAAAACAGCAACATATTCCTGAAATAGCACCGTACATCAACGCTGTGTGCAAAAAAATACCAGTGGGATGCAAGTCAAATAACAACAACAACCACAAGACAACTAAGATTAACTCCGTACTACAATAAACAAAAACATGGCCAAAAAAACAAAAAAACGTTTTCGAAATCACCAAAATAAAAGCCATAAATGCAATCTAACAGTGATCATAGGGACTGTGACCGAATTTTTTACAATAAACTACATAAATAAATTATAACACCAAAATCTAGAGCTATATTTTAGGCCCTTGGAATAGCAGTGGCAGCTAGGGGTGTACAACTCCTCGAGCAGTTTTGAGTGAAGATCTCATAGGTAGTGATTCAAGTTGCAGTTTATTGGCAATAGCATTCCAGACCCTGGGGGCATCAATAGCAAAGGCCCTTCCTCCGGTTTTTGTACGGCAATAGGGAATGTGAAGCTGGTAAATGAGCGAAGACCTGAGGTCAAATTTGTTCTTTGAAACATAGAGGAGATCCAGTAGGATGTCTGCGGATTTTTTTGTAAGTACATCGTGAATAAATAAGATCTGGTGCACAAGCCGTCGAACATTAAGAGATGTTAAGTTTGACCCAATGTAGAGATCACAGTGGTGAGTCATATATGGGCAGTTCAATGCAAATCTTAAGGCCGAGTGATAGATGGAATCAAGCTTTTTCAGTACAGTAATTGGGGCTGATTTATACACGATGTCACAGTAGTCAAGTAGAGGCAGTATGGTAGCTTTTATCAATTCCAAACGGAACATTGGGGGGAAGCAATGCTTGTGTCGATACAGAAAACCAATTTTTACTTTTGTCTTTTTACCAATATAATAAATGTGACCTTCAAAATTAAGTTTTGAATCCAGGATGACCCCAAGATACTTATAGATTTTAACTTGTTCTATTTGATAATTATTCAAGGAATGTAATTGGGGAAAAATAACTTCCTGCTTTAGTCCCGGTGAGAAGCATAG